GTACACCAGCCCTTTCACTCCAGAACCCAGTTTGGCCTCCGGTTAGGAAAATCAGCATGTTTAGGGTCTGCCCTCGAATGTGGGGAAAGGAAAGAGGCTGGGAGAGACATGGTGGGAAAGAGCCCCTGCTGGGCAGGAGCAGTAGCACAGACCACAAGCAACAGCCTCCGGGTGTAGCCAGGAAAGTAACTTGGAGCAGCGTTTGCCTTGACTGGGTGTGGGCATTTCTGATATTTAACCCTGCCTAAACCAAGCAGCCAGTCCCAGAGCCCCCAGAAGATAAAGGACACAGGAAACCTAGGGAGCCTGGATCAGCACTTACGACCCAAAACAATGAAACCCTGCTAGGGCCCTGAGCACGCTGTGCCATGCAGCAGTGTTGGCTCCACTGGGCAGAGACCAAACACTGAAGCCACAATGCCAGCTCAGAGTAATATCTTTCTGTGTGTCTTAGGCTGAGACATGCAGGAGGCAGAGGGGCTTCTCCATCTAAGCCGGGAACAGCAGAGCCAGGTCCAGAGCTACATGGACCTGGCCCAAGTCGGGGAGGTAAGGATGCTCTTCCCAGCCCTGGTAAAGCTTAGGGTGTGGGGCTGTGTGTCAATAGTGGCTGTGTCCAGGGTTGTGGAGAAAAGTCCTGCTGCTTCTCTGCAGATCACAAGGTTCCCACTACTGCCCTGGTGCGGGGCTGGCCTGGACATAGAGCCTGGCTCTGGGATATGCAAACACTTTCTGTCCCCTGGGTTTCAGGTGTTTCAAAAGATCTTATCAGAGGGGCAAAGGAGATCTTTTGTGCAGAGGGTACTTGCTGGGGTGCTGGACATCAACATTTGTGTCAGCCGTGCTGCGCTGATCCTCCTCTATGCCATCCTGGGGGAAGCCGGCCACCTGATCGGGGACAAGGTAAGCAGAGGGTCAGGCTCAGGGAGTGGGTGGAGGGGCACAGGGCCCCTCACCTCTAGGCCCCTTCATCCCATTGACACTTGGTGACCTGGGGAAACAAGTGTGAAAGGAGGAATTGGTGCAGCTGTAGCCCCGGGAGGGCCCCAGCCTGTCCCCTGCACAAATACGGCCCCTTCAGCTGTGTATCTTGAGCCAAGACCTATGACAACATGTACATCTCCATCAGGAGAAGCTGCCACTGCCTAGGTTAAAGGCAGGGCCCCTTCACGGCTCCAGGTCACTACAACTGGACCGGGGCTATGGAGTCATAGAAGAGTAAGCCCCTCAAGGACTGACCTACTGCCAACAAAGGAACTTCGTGATGCCGCCGATCTTCCTGTTTCTTTTTATAGGCAGTCCTAGCGGCCTTTAGGTTGGCTTGGACTTGGTGAATGGTCTTGAGGAGGTCCAGCACCACAATAACCGGTCAGGAGAAAGGGGCTGTGTGTTAGAAACAGATGAAGCCCATCAGTTACTAAAGAAAAGACAACTGGCTCCCATTGAGGCATGTTCCACATTGCTGCATGCTGTTCAGGCAGGACTAATAGTCCTGATAACTCCCAAAGCATCTTAGTTACTGCTTTAGGATCTGGTTTACTCATTCTGATTGCCGTCTGCTTGGGGGTTGGAGGGCAGTGTGCTGTTGAAAGCTGGAGGCAATCATCTAAGAAGTGGTCGCCCTTAGCTGAACATGGGGTGTGCTCTCGGACCCATTACGAGAACTGATATCATCTTGAAAACCATGTCATCAAAAGACATGCAGAGCAGAAGGGAGGCTGTAGCCTCTGCAGGTGAGAGCTGGGCTCAGGGTGGGAAGAGGGCAATCTTTGTCAATCAGTCTCTGTGACAGGGCACTAGGGTGTACCTGTCCCACTAAGAGGAAAAGCTGCCTGAAAAGCAGCTTCCAGGTGAGGGGCGGAGGAGGTGCTTTCTGGCAGTGTTTTTGTGCTGGCCGCCTGGCACAGAACTGACCGTCAGGACTCCAGGACTCTCCAGTCGTGCCAAGCCTGCCCCGTGAGCCTGCATGGGGCCCCACCACCATGCAGGACCAGACCTCAGTGCTGCTCATGCCAGACCAAGCCCACTGCTCAGCCCTGGCCCAAGCCAAAATCAGGTCCCCACATAAAATGTCCATGCACCAACTGTAGAGAAGGACCTGGGCTTTACCATAATCTGAATATGAGTGAACAGTGTGCTCTTGTTGCCAAAAATGCCACTAGCACACTGGTTTGTATTAACAGGAGTGTCCCTTGAAAATCAAAGGAAGTCATTTTTCTGCCCTATTTGGCACTGCTGAGGCCTCACGTGCACTAGTTTCCAGCTTTGGACCCCTGCAACAGGGGCCCTTACCTCTGTTACTGGGTGCAGGGTAAAAGCGGCAGGGAGGTAAACTGCAGAGTTGTAAGCCTGCTAGTAGGGGGCAGACTGCGGGGGCATTAAGCCTGCTCTGCTCATTAGAAAGGAGCTGTTCCTGTGCCCAGTCCAGGAAGGGGGCCTGGCTACTGGAAGGTGCGGGGCTAAACAGGGAATTGAAACGGAGCTTCTAAGCTGAAGAGTCAGATCTGAGCCAGGCTGGGCTCAAGGATGGAGCTGTGCAGGGACTGCAAGAGAGTGCCCCACACAATGCGTTTGGTTGTTCCTTTGGTGAGTTTTGTTCCTTAGCCGTGAGGCATGGGAGCCCACTGAAGATGCCCAGAGGGAGGGCATGGATTGCACTATTGGATTGTGGGTACCACTAGCCTGGTGTGGGGGAGGGAATAGATTGGAGGGCTCTCAGCCCAAGGTGTTAGAAGGACAGGATGTGAGCTACCAAGCCCCAGGACTGAGCCTGAGGGCGAGGCAGACAGGCCCTAGAGAGACCAGCTGGGTCAGGCAGAAGACTGCCATTATGAGCCAGGCAGAGTAAAGTACCTAAAGGGTCATTCTGGTGGTCTGAGGGCAGCCTCCTGAATTTATAACCACGCCAAGAAGAATACAGGAGGTGACCCTGATAAGCCAGGGTGAAGACAGGGCGTACTGTGGTTCCCAGGGGGGCCACAGCCACCTTCAAAGGTGGGGTCCTGTTACACAACCACCCTTCCAGAAAGATGGGGATACATTACAACGAGTCCGGTGGAGAGTGACAAAAATGGTTCGAGGTGTGAGAAGCATGACTTAATGAGGAGAGGTTGAAAGAAGTAGAGTTATCTAGTCTGGAGAAGAGAAGACTGAAGGTAAGATTTTATAATAGTCTGCAAATACCTGAAGGGAGATTATAAAGAGGATGGAGACAGACTTTTCTCTGCAGCTGTAGGGGACAGGACAAGAAGCAATGACCTCAAACTGTGGCACAGCAAGTTTTGGTTAGAGATTAGGAAGAAAGTGAAGGTGGTGAAGTATTTTCCGTTTTCAAGAGTGGCCTAGGCAGATAGCACTTGACTCGGATGGTTTATTCAGGAGTGTGACCCTTCTTTGAGCAGGACACTAGGTTAGATGACTTCCTAAGGTCTCTTCCATCCCTCCTTTTCTATAATCCAATGGCCTCATCAAAAGCAAGTTGGAGACATTTGGCCCTGATAGCACTGCTGCAAGGCACATAGATCATTGGCTCAATAACCACAAGCAGGAGAAATCATCAGTGAATCAATGTTGGATTGGCAGGAGGGTTTCTGTGATGTTCCACAGGCGTCTGCTCTGGGTCTGGTCCTAGTTAACAAATGTATTAATGATCTGCACACTGGAATAGGCCAAGTCTGCAGATGACATGATGACGTTGTACACAGAGAGATGTAAGTTGCTACACTTATGGTAAGAATCGTCAACAGCAGAAATACAGAATGGAAATTAACTGTCTGGGTGGGACACTGCTGGGAAGGAGCTAGAGGGTTGGTGGATCACAGCATCAACACGCGTCAGCAATATAATCCGATTGTACAAGGGGCTCGATAGTGTACTCACTGCCGGTTATGTCTCACTGAGAGTGTTTGAAGTTCTGGCTTCCACCTTTCAGACAGAAATTGGAGAAGTTGTCAAGGCTCCAGAAGGGAGAGACAAAAATGCGAAAGGAGTTGGAAAGTAAGGTTGAGAGAACTAGACATATTTAGCTTGGACAAAAGTGCTGCTTACAGACTTAAAAAACAAAGATGACGCATTCCTTTAAAGTCTATGTGCCCCGGTGCCAAACCCAGCACATGCGCAGAAGAGACAGCACGTTAGTCGGACCCAGCTCACCCAACATCTGTACCGCTCCGGTGCTAAAGCAGTGCTGTTTTACCACCTTTACTTAATTCCTGATTGAATCAGAATCAGCTCTAGATAAAAGTGCCAAAAAACCATACTGAAGCATGCAATCCATACAGGCACTGGGGAGCTGGGTCAAACTAATGCTCTGCCTCTTCCAGTAAAGCATGTTTTGTGTTTCTTTCATGTCTGTCAGCAGTCAAGGTGATTCATGGGTCATAATACAGTCTTCAAAATCTGCAAGGCTGCCATAAAGAGGGAAAACACCCATTCTGCCTTGGCTCAGAGGGCAAGACACAAAGCAATGACTATAAATTGAAGTAGATTTAGATTAGATGGCAGCTAAGATCTTCCTGGCTCCTAGAACAGTACGACAGCAGAACTGCTGAAAAAAGGTGTCAAATCTCCTTTATTGGAGGTTTTCAAGAGCAGGCTGGAAAAGCACCGTGCAGGGATCTTTGAAGAGGAATAGTCTTGTATTTCTGTAGAGGTTTGGATTAGATGGCCCTTCCAAATATATGGCTAAATGATTCTTCCTCCAACCATAACCATTTGGGGCTACAGAGGCCCCAGGATCCACTGCAGCTGTGCAGAAATGGCCCAGCCAGGCCTGATCCAGCCACATAGAAACAGGGCTTGGTTCCTTCCACTCAGGGCCAGCCCAGTAAACCCAATCCAGCTGTGCGGGGCTTGACAAGTTCGGTGGTAGGGGAGCGGTGGCAGTGTAAATTGCTCTTGCTCCTCTCCCAACTTTCCAGACCTGTGGGGAGTCTGGATGTATGATCACTCTTGGATTTTTTTCTGTCTCAACCTTATGAGGAAATTTTATTCCTATGCATTTAGATAGGAGCACTGTCTCATGATGAGAAGCACAGCATTCTGGTAGGGATGTCAGAAAAAGGGGAGGGATGTATGAAAATAGCAGATACCAGGATCAAAGCAAACTAAGTGGTGGGGGTAGAACCATAGAGAGTAGGGCTGGAAGCAGGGGCAGATGTGGGGCGGGGGCCGGGGTGTTGCTTTGGTGGATTTGTAACCCAGATTCCTCCTCTACTCAAAGTTTAAAAGCAGGTGCCTAGTAGCAGAGGAAGTAGCCACCGTTGTGGGCTGGGCTTCGCACCCCAAACCCCACTGCAACCCACCCAGGAGTGGCCCAACACCACGTGCATCCAGCTACTGGGCAGGCAGGGGACAAGGCTCAGCCCAGCGGCAGAAAGCATGTGGCGTTGTGCTGCTCCCGGGTGGGCTGCAGCGAGGCTCGGGGCACAAAGCCCAGCCTGCAACGGTAGCTGCCTCCACTGCACACAGATGAGAGGGCAGGTGCCCCCCCACCCCATTACTGCTGAGCAGTGCAGGCAGCTGCAGCAGCTGTGAGGGAGGGAGTGGGGCTGGAGCAGGGACAGGGGCAGGCCCTGTACAGCTGGGGTGCAGGATGGAAGCGCGAGTGGTTCATCTGCGAGGCGCGGGAAGGAGGAAGCACGCAGCCCTGGAGGGCATGTGCCACCAGATGTGCACACTGGCCGGGCCGGCTGCTGCTGTGAGCTAGGGCTGGGGCTGCACCAGGCTGCAATCAGCCTGGGTGGCGCTGGGAGCGGGGCTATGGTTGGGCGGGGAGGTGCTGCAGGCACCCAAAAATTCACTGTTGCCCGCCCATAGCTCCCTCTCCCAGTGCTGCTGCCCAGCCCCAGCGTAGCGTCGCCCAGCTCCCCGCTGTGAAGAGCACAGTGCTGCCTCCCCCCGCCCCATCCCTCTCGGGATCTGCACAGCGGGAGGGCAGGCGGGGGCTGAAAGGCAACACCAGGCTCTTCATGGCAGCGGTCTTGGCCACGCTGCGCTTGGATCGGGCGGCAGTGGAGACACTGGTAGGGGGAGCTATGGAGGGACTACAGCAAATTTTTGGGTGCTTGCCACCACCCCTGTAGTCCTGCACCCAGCACCGCCGCCACCCAGCCCGAGCACAGCCCAGCGCAGTCCCGGCCCCAGCCCACAGCACAGCCGGCCTGGCCAACGTACATATCTGGGGGCACACGCTGGGCGGGCAGGAAGCGGGGCATTGAACACGGTTCATCTTGGGTTGCTTTTAAATGCTAAAGGTGATCTTCTACTTTAAAAGTTTGGAGACCACTGATCTACCTGGTCCCTTCTAGACTCTTCACCTCAAGGTGTTAATGACCCTCTCTTCATGGTAATGGGCTTGATGTTGCACCAATGAAGATATCTTTTCCAGCAATCAGCCTATCCCTTCTGCCATTCTGTTGTCTGTTTGCTGCTTCTGGCAGTGGAGCGCCTCTTTCACAGCCCTGAAGATTGTTTTTGACCCATTTCATTGACACTAGATTTGTTTCTGCTTCCACCTTAAACTGAATTATCCAGCCCTAAGCACCTAGTGTATTAGTAAAGCTCTTAGTTGATTTTTAACTGGAGAAGAAGGTGTTGTTTTCTAGGTGATGATGCACCTCACCATCTGCATCCCCCTTTTCATTATCCTGAATCTGCCCAGGACTAGAAGGGACCTCTAAAGGTTACCTCTAGTCCAGCCTTCTGCCTGAAGCATCATCATCCCTCTCCAAATCATCCTGTGCAAATCTGTGTCTAACCTAGCCCTAGAATGACACGTTCAGCCCCATGGGCAGATCTAGGACTTTGAAAAGCGGGGTGCAGGTGGTGTGGTGCCTCATCCCATGTTACACAACACATTTTTCTCCAGTTAAAGAGAAAGTAGAAGATTTCTTAGTATGGCAGAACTATATTATTCAGATCAAAGCAAACACAATTCTGACTAGCGAAACATACACCAATTTGCAAGAATAGATCAAATGTTTACAAAAAAGACAACCAAGTGGGCAGAAAGTCATCGAATGATACTGTATCACTAGTCCTGGAGTCTAGCGTCCTAGAGAAGTAGGGCTGGGAGGGAACTCCAGAAGTCACCTAGTCCAAACACCTGCCTGAACCAGGATCATCCCTATGCAAACCATCCTATACAGTCCATATTCTACAGAAGACTACCATCAACCCAGAAACAACACAGACCTAAACCCCTAACCTGTCACAGGCAAAGCACAGGGACCATGACAGCCAACATCCTGCCGACAGCCTTGTTAACCTGGGGAGGAGGACTTTAAGCTAGGCTCACTGGCAGATGGAGAGCAAAGGCCTGAGGGAAGTGGGGAAGTGGAGGGACCTGGAGAAAGCAGAAGCAGGAGATGGCAACAGAGGAGGCCTCAGCAGAGGAGGCCTGAGAAACTAGGGCAATTGGCTAGTCACCTCAGGTGGCTGCACATGAATGCGCGGAGCTTGGGAAACAAGCAGAAGAATGGGAAGTCCCCGCACAGTCAAGGAACAACAGAGACCTGGTGGGATAGCTCGCATGGTGGCAGCTCTGTCATGGATGGGTATAAACTGCTCAGGAAGGACAGGCAGGGGAGAAGAGGTGGAGGAGTTGTGCTGTGTGTAAAAGAGCTGTATGATTGCTCAGAGCTCCGGTATGAAACTGGAGATAGACCTGCTGAAAGTCTCTGGCTTAGGGTTAAAGCGGAAACCAACAAGGGGGATGTCATGGTGGGTGTGTGCTGCAGACCACCAGACCAGGAGGACGAGGTAATTGAGGCTTTCTTCAGACAACTACTGTAACTTTCAACATCACAGGCCCTGGGTCACAATAGTAAATGTAGCAAGCGACCAGCTTGGCTTTGCAGAGACCTTTTTGCATGAGCTTAAACACAAAAAAGAACTGATTAGGGACTATTTAGAAAAACTGGACATGTGCAAGTCCATGGGGCTGGATGCAATGCATCCGAGGGTGCTGAGGAAGTTGGTTGATGTGACTGCAGAGCCGCTGGCCACGATCTTTAAAAACTTGTGATGATTGGAGGATAGTCCTGGACAACTGGAAAAGGGCAAATATAGTTCCCATCTTTAAGAAAGGGAAGAAGGAGGATTCAGGGAACTACAGACCTGTCAGCCACACCTCAGTCTCCAGAAAAATCATGGAGCAGATCCTCAAGGAATCCATATCTAA